ATTATATTAACATTCATGTTTAGACATGTTTGGAACTGCAGTTTCTCGTACTATTGCATCCATTATGCCCATCTGGCTGGTATCAAACTATAAATTCAACACTGACATCATATCAAACTTTTAGCACAACATGGTCACCTGTCATGGCTACCATATTATCGTTGTCGAAATGTATCAAAATGAAAGCTCTTATCTAAATTTGTAGCCCACAAAGATTGCAGTGATATGTTTGTTCATGATTTTGTTGTAAACCTTTTCATGTAAATACGTCTTTAATAGATATGTCTTTAGATATACATCAGATTGCAAAACGTTATTGTGAAAATAAGTTATTAAAAAGAATTATTGTGTTCACTTGTTTCTGCTTGCTTCTCTTTGCTGTCCATGTTCGAAATAATTTTCTGTATAGCATTTTTAGAACCTGGGTTTTGCGGATACTTTTAAAAATTTGTAGGAAATGTATCTAAATACCACAATACAGCAGCTACATAACGTAACAAATGGTACTTTGATTCTTGTTTCAAAACTTACAGATCACCATCACATCATGCAAATCCGTTTTTGTGCTTCAGAGGTTAAACTAATATATCTTCAACTGGTCATTTTCCCATCCAAATATTCAGCTTATTGCCGTAGTAGTAGATCATGCATTATTTAATGAAAATATGTTATTTTGTCCTTTAAACTGCTCTAGAAATTCTCAGGTGGATATTTTAAGAATGACTTATGGTGTATTGTTTCTTATATGCCGTAACTGTAGATCGTGTATTTCATAAAGAAAGTTCCTTGCTTTGTTTTCCATTCTATTTGTTGCATCATGCTGGTTGTGTTCATCATGTGATATGATCAGTTGTTTCTTGTTTATTACAACTGCAGGTCATGTAATGTTTAAACATATTCCTTGATTATTACCAGTTTTTGTTCAGGTGGTCATGTTCAACATAATAAATGATCAGTTGTTTCTTGTTTATTACAACTGCAGGTCATGTAATGTTTAAACATATTCCTTGATTATTACCAGTTTTTGTTCAGGTGGTCATGTTCAACATAATAAATGGTCAGTTGGCTTTTGAAAATTATATTATTAAATCTTACAATACTTTAGAAAAATGTTTTATTTAGGTTCTCTTACCACATCCATCTCTCTTCATGCTCACTATAATAAGCCCGATACCCGTGGTGGGCAGAGCACAGATAGCCCTTGTGTAGCTTTGTGCTTAATTATAAACAAACAAACACTATAATAAATGATCGATTGATTATTTTGCTACATTTATGTATTATACACTATTCAAAGAAAATATTATGCTTTGTTTAATTCTCCATTTTTTAAATACACCATTATATGACCATGTTCGATGTTAATCGGTTCTTGTTTACTGTAGCCGTTGGCCTCACACTACTTAAAGAAAACTCAATGATTGACCCTGTTTTTCTAAATGCTACTAAGTCGTTTCAACCTAGGATATGATAAATTTGTTTTTATGTCAATAACCTGCATCACATAATATTTATTGAAAAGTTGTTATTTTGTTTTGTCCCAAAGTATTTCTCCACTCCCGGTTGCTCAACGGTAAACTTGAGGACTTATAAAGCTAAAATTTGGGGCTCAGTCATTATGGAGAGCATAGTACAGATAGTCCATAGTGTAATTTTGTGCTTAACAAGAAACAAGCAACAAAAACAAAGTTTCTCAATACGAACCACTATATCCCGAGAGAAAGGGGGGGGGGTCCATTTTGAGCATGACAAATGAGTTAGTTGTTCTTGTTATATTGTTGTTGCAGATAGTACATCATTCGTAGAAAGTTCGTTGCAGCCGTGTAGAGCAGGCCAGTTGATTCTTGTGTATTATAGCTGTAGACATTTTATTCTTAAGCTCTCTAATTATATTTAATACATCGTCAGCTGATCACCACAAACAAATTACCTTATTTTACTATAGTTTTATATTATACATTACTTAACGAAAATCCGGAGTTAAGTCTCCTGTTCTGCCCATTATACATTACTTAATGAAAATCCCGTGTTAAGTACCCTGTTCTGCCCAAAAGTCATCTTGGTAGTCGCAATAGGTTTTTCTTTTACTAAACTTCTAAATTATTTATTTATTTAAAGATAATTCGCTTTTCTTCAGATCCACTTATTGCATCTTTTACGGGTCAACAAAATGGTCAATTTGTTCGGTTTTATAACTGCTGGTCATAGATATATTTTAAAAATTGGTGTTTTATATTGCTGTTCTACTAGTTAACATTGCTAATGTTCAATATAACAAATTGCCAATTGCAATGATAGAAAATGCATTTATTAAAAATGACCTATTATTGTTTAATTATTAGATATTTCTTGTTTGTTGAAGTTGTAGACCATATATTATTTAGAAAAGATCGTTTCCTAGTTCTCCAGTTCCTCTTCCCAAGTTAGGGTCAACGTCTTGTTTACTACAGGTGCAGTTGTCTATTACTTAAGGTAAATTGCTGGTTTATTTCTGTTGTTATACATAATATATCCTAAGGTAGTGTGGATAGAAATGACAGTTGTCAGTTTATTCTATTTTAATACAAATACAGATCACACATTACTCCAAGTACGTTCGCCGTTCAGTTGTTACGTGTTCGAGGCGTCGTAACTTAGTGGTTTGAAGTAATAATCAAAAGGTTCCGGGTTCGAAGCTTACGCATGCGCAAGACACTTTACTCAAACTTTCTTAGTCTATCCGGCTGTAAAATGGGGACCAGCCAATATCTGGGGTTAACCTGCGATGGACTGGCTTCCTGTTCTGGGGGAATGTGTAAACATTCTCATCCGCTTGTGCCACAGGAAACCGGAGTTATGCCTTTAAGACTCAGAAAGGATTTAAACTAACTTATCATGTACAACGTGATAAAAGAATAACGAATTTTTGTTTATTATTTTTGTGTATCATACAAACTTTAAGAAAAGTTGGTCACTATTTCAACTTTATTTAATATTTAATCAGCTCCTTACGTTCAACATAACAAATTCTAAGTTTGTTCTTGTATATTATAGATGTAGTGCTGTGTAACTCGTATATCGTAAGTACTACTTCTCCAGCTGGCTGACTTCGGAGAGAAAGTGGGGATTTTTTTATACTTGTACGTCATTCGAAATGTGATTAAAATACATGGTTTAATCTTCCGTTCTATTTAGTACATCATCTGCGAGTGATTTTCTACATATCATCTAATCATTTGGTTGTTGTTTACAACAAATGTACGTCATACTTTACTTAATGAAAACTTGTTAGTATTTTACTATTTCTCACTACGTAATTGGAAGTTCAACAAAGTTCAACAAAACAAATGATCCACTGATCTTTGAATACTGTAAACGTAGATGTTATGCAGAGGTTTGAGTGATCCACTGATCGTTGTATTCTGTAAACGTAGATGTTTTGCAGAGGGTCGAGTGATCCACTGATCGTTGTATTCTGTAAACGTAGATGTTTTGCAGAGGGTCGAGTGATCCACTGATCGTTGTATTCTGTAAACGTAGATGTTTTGCAGAGGGTCGAGTGATCCACTGATCTTTGTATTCTGTAAACGTAGATGTTATGCAGAGGTTTGAGTGATCCACTGATCGTTGTATTCTGTAAGCGTAGATGTTTTGCAGAGGGTCGAGTGATCCACTGATCTTTGTATTCTGTAAACGTAGATGTTATGCAGAGGGTCGAGTGATTCACTGATCTTTGTATGCTGTAAATGTAGATGCTATGTAGTACCATAAATCAAAACGGTTGTGCATATTCAAATCAGCAAGTTATGTAATAACCACAGAAATATAAAGGCCTACTGGAATTGAATGTATCAGGAGAAGGTGTGTTGTTCTTTCTTCAATTTTATCTAATTACATCCTAAACTGTTTATTTTCGTTATGAGAAAGTATCAGTTGGGTATTATATAACTGTAGTTAGGATAATCCTGTTGTTCTACCTCTTACATCTTCATGTCGTCTTGTCAACATGATAAATGGTTAACTGATTCTTCTTTATCATAAATATACATCACGTGTTAGTTGGACGTTCTAGTTTCCGGTTGTCCGATTTCACAAATAATACATATTTAGCTACTCGTATTCAATGTGTCAACTGGCTCTTCTATCTATTAGAATTCCACAACAATTTAATGATATTTCATTGTTCAGTTCTATGTACTACAACCTCAGCCAATTGAAAAGGTGAAAATGTCATGAGAGCTTCTAATTACCTTTATTAATCAAAAACAATGAGTTCTATTCTGCGTTTCTGACTTACTGTTTTAACTTTGTCAACTGTTCAGTAAATGCCTAAACCAGAAGTTATTTTGCTGAATCACATCTCTTGTAGATGTATATAACATTAATGTATCATGCTACATGTAGTTTTATATTTCTTACCACTATTGTATATTTTTACTACTGCTCTGTCACATGTATATCCTGTTAAGACTATTTTTTTCTTTATTTGGTCGTCATCAATATTTATTACATAATGTTCTTATTACTAACATATTTAAACATGTTTTTAATACACAATTAATCTTTCATCAGTGAGACTTTGTTACATTCGCACCAGAACTGTTCGTTTCCTTATTGGTAAGGTGGTGTTAATTGGAAAAGTTCTCGTTTCCCGTGTTCAAATAGACCTGGTCAACCGATCGCACATATACGACTAATGTATACCCTGGATGAACAGTACAGTTATCGTTCCGACAGACAAATATTAGTTGACCCCATATAATCAGAGTTACAAACGGACTAGCCACTCCTTCTTATTGCACGTGTGCTTTCAAGAGCCACCTACTTCGTCAGTCTAAAAACTGTTGACAATAAGTAAGATAAGCATTGGCTGACTGTTTTTCGATATTTTATCTCACCAGTCATGTTTATAAACCACAATGTCTACTAAGTATTTGTGCCATTTTTAGTTCAGCTAATTTTCCGAGAGTTTTGACTAATTAGAACGTGTGAATTACAAAATAAAAACCTAACAGCTGAATATGACCCTTAAAAATTATGCTGAATATTCCACTGTTCAGTTGAGCTCTCGTGCAAAAGCTTTTTGTATTGATGCTCTCCTTCATAATCAGCCGGCAAAGTTTTCTAGAAAAGATGACGGGGAGGAGAATCCTGCTACTGAAGAAAAATGTGCTCAAAATACCAATCCAGAGAGACCGTTGGAAACATGTTTATACAAGTCACCAGAGAAAGAACTGATCGTCGAAGAAATAGGTCAGTGCTGTACCAGTCTGTATATACTATATTTGGAATAGGTCAGTGATGTACCAGTTTGTATATACTATATTTGGAATAGGTCAGTGATGTACCAGTTTGTATATACTATATTTGGAATAGGTCAGTGGTGTACCAGTTTGTATATATTATATTTGGAATAGGTCAGTGGTGTACCAGTTTGTATATACTATATTTGGAATAGGTCAGTGGTGTACCAGTTTGTATATACTATATTTGGAATAGGTCAGTGGTGTACCAGTTTGTATATACTATATTTGGAATAGGTCAGTGGTGTACCAGTTTGTATATACTATATTTGAAATAGGTCAGTGACGTACCAGTTTGTATATACTATATTTGGAATAGGTCAGCGATGTGCCAGTTTGTATATACTATATTTGGAATAGGTCAGCGATGTGCCAGTTTGTATATATTATATTTGGAATAGGTCAGTGGTGTACCAGTTTGTATATACTATATTTGGAATAGGTCAGCGGTGTACCAGTTTGTATATACTATATTTGAATAGGTCAGTGATGTACCAGTTTGTATATACTATATTTGGAATAGGTCAGTGATGTACCAGTTTGTATATATTATATTTGGAATAGGTCAGCGATGTGCCAGTTTGTATATATTATATTTGGAATAGGTCAGTGATGTACCAGTTTGTATATACTATATTTGGAATAACTTGTATTGCTATAGTTATTATTGATTGTAAACTCCAGCTAGCTAAGGAGTGGATGCTTCTTATCTGTTTCGCTATAGTTTAATACAAAGATTAAAATTTAACAAGGTAACACCTAGATGCTACTGGTCTGTACAGCTAGAGTGTATTACCAAGAGTAAAATACAGTAAGATAACGAGTAATAACTACTGGTTATACTGGTACAGTTGATTTAAAGTAAGAATAAAATATAACACGAAACATACGATTATTACAAAGGTTTCTTATTTTTTACAACTAATTAAAACTAATGTTGAACTTACTAGCAACTGACTGTATATTCGTTGTATATTTTTCTAACTAACATATCCCTTTTAAGAAACACGCTAATTATCCTATGCTCTATATTATTAATTAGTTTTATATTTTTTATTACCTTAGATCATTTTCATTTTCGAAAATAGTTTCGACTAACCTAATAGTATCTTATTATGGTAACAAAAAATATCATTTTTTAATGTCAGAAATAAGTTAATTAATGACAATTTAGTAATTTATCACAGTGGCATAAAAGTCTAAGTAGCTTAACATATTTTCTGTTCGAGTAATAAGAAGTTGTAGCTGTTCTATTCCAGTTTATGACACACATGGTGGAAGTATAAAATGTGATATCTACTTTTCAATATTTTGCCATGGAATGCGACGTTTTGTTAATAATTAGAAATACAATACCTTTTTATAAGTTCATGTCACTGATTTTAAAATTCACCTTTGGTTAAAATATTAAGATAATTAATTATACCAAAATGTTTCAGCATTATGAAAGTTTCAATGAAATATATCAGTAATTACAATTTTCCCACGTCTTATAAACCTACAGTTGGTTCACACATATTATGTATACTATAATTCTACATTTGTAATAAAAATTAAATTAACATCCAATTAGTAACACTAGTCACTACATTAAACTAAAAGCGGATCTAATAATTGCAAGCAACTCATGATCAGAAACGCAAGTTTTGAAAACTATTTGAACTGGTGGGATTGTGGAAGTAAATTTGTTCAGATACAATGCAAAAACGGATATTTAAGGCCCACATTCAGAAACAGGAAAGCAATAATTGAGATACTTTTACAAATAATAAGCAAATTTCATCAGTATTGGATAAATCTTTCAAACAGTAATTTCAGTTAATGTGTATGAAACTCCAAAGAATCACAAAAACCCTGTAAAATTCAGATTGATCAAAAATGAATAAAACTGAATTAGCTATCTTTGTGAAAACTAAGTTGATTTATAGGATTATAAAATATAACAAGAACGCATTAGAATGCCAATCTAATGTGAATGTAAATAACAATATTATTTCTGCGGTACCATTATATAAACTTTTAACTTAGTACTTTATAAACTAGAGAACGTCACGATGAGCTGGTACACTCAATAGCACTGATACACTGGTACACTGATTATATATATTTCTTTCATCAAAAGTGAAATTTAAAAAAATCATAAGGTTTTCATTTTTTAACAATTATATTGTTTAAAATCATAAGGAACTTTTGCTGAGTATAAATTTTAGTTCATATATAGATTGTTATATATAAACGTGTAGCAGTATGAATAGAAAGTTTAATGTTTTGGTTGTTCATCATTCAACTTTGTAATGAAGCATAACAGTCAAATAAATGATTAACAGTTATCCAGATACGAGCCGTGTGTTAGATGGTAGGTTTCGATACATTATACATAAAAATTAAACATTAGATCACGCCTAGAAACTTTTAACATTCCTCATCTTGTTTGATAAGTCAATATATTTTTTGCATTATATCCGTACAATAGGTTGTCGCCAAATTGTCCCGTTTTGTATTAAGCCTGAACGCCCATTTACTGACTCCACCTGCAGAAAGTATGAAACTGGCGCTTCAACAACCACGGGGTCAGCTCTTGACACCCACATCAATGTGGAGTTGTACATGCAAGATCTGTGGAAGAAGTTTCATCTGTTAGGCAATGAAATGATCATAACAAAAGCAGGACGGTTGGTATATTACAATGTCTATCCATTTGTGGTGAACTACGTGATTTAAAATTTTTGTCTGTAATGTTTGTACGAAGTAAGGTTCATTGCTACGCGTGCCTGAATTTGAAAATTGGATACTAGGATTTTCAGAAGTTGAGTAAATAAGTCTTACGAATGCTAAATGCTAGAAAATGATGGTTCTAAGTTATAAAGTTATAATGTTTTCAGCTGCTTTATTTTAAAGAATAAGATTTTTAAGACATGATCAGTCTTAAGGTCGCTTTGTTTTGGAGAGTATAGGTTTTTCTAGACCTTTTCAGGTTTAAGGTTGTTTTCAATGAAATGTTATTCTTAACGCTGTTTTAATTAATAGAAGAATTATCAGGAAAAGTATATCTTATAGATGTTTGTTTTTGAAGCGTACATTTTCAAGGAATAAGTCACTTTTAAAGTAGCTTTGTAAGGTACTTCAGTGAACTAGCTATAAACTGTTTGATCATAAAGTGTTTCTTTAATAATCATATTACTAAGCCTTCTTTTTCACGAGCTTATAACTAATAGAATGTAAGAGTTTAAATCATATATTGTCCTACTGTTTATTACAGACGGCTGTTTCCGGCATTAAAGGTGAAGATATCAGGGCTTCTTCCAGACGAACAATACTCTGTGTGGATAGACATCGTGCCAGTTGATTCCAACCGATACAGATATATGTACTGCAAGTAGGACAGATAATTTTGCTCAAAGCTAAGTTTAGTGCAAGCTGGCACAAAGCATCAGTCACTACATTAAAGTAAAATCATATTTAATAAGTGCACCTGAATATAGTTAGTATTAGGTAAACAACAACAAACAAACATTTAATAACATAGCATGATTACTTTTATCGCAAAGTTAATTCATGTCATTATTCACATAATTCATCTTTGGTTAGAATAATAAAATAATTATTGAAATATGTTTCAGCATTATGAAAGTTTGAATGAAATGAATTATTAATTATGATTTTCACACGTCTTATAAACCTATAACTGGTTCACACACGTTGTAAATACTCTAATTCTACATTTAGAATTGTTATAATGAAGTCAGTGGTTATCTCTCACCATTTCAATAACATTTAACCAATCTCCATTGAATTCATGTATCTCGCTTTGTTACTAGAACTTTGAAAATTAAGTTCCAATGATTGTTTACTTACTAAAGATTTTCATATTTTGCACGATAATGCACAATTCACGGAAATGTATAAGCCGGATAGGAGACAGAAAATGAGTAATTTGATTCAATTAAACAAAGTTTGACGTCATTAATATTCCTGATAAACTCGGAAGAGCAATCAAAGAAACGTTTCTGTGATATTCTTCGCAAAACGAGCTATGTCAATAAAAAATGCAGCAAGATAGATAACCAAATGTTTCTATAACAGTATTCTTAAAACATTCATAATCGATGATAAAGCCCAGCAGTATAAGTAATATGAGTGCATGTTTCCTGTAACGACGTCTAGCAGCATAAGTAATATAAGTGCATGTTTCCGTAATTAGGCCTAGCAATATAAGTAATATGAGTGCATGTTTCCGTAATAAAGTCCAACAGTATAAGTAATATAAGTGCATGTTTCCGTAATGAAGTCTAGCAATATAAGTATTATGAGTGCATGTTTCCTGTAACGACGTCTAGCAGTATAAGTAATATGAGTGCATGTTTCCTGTAACGACGTCTAGCAGTATAAGTAATATGAGTGCATGTTTCCGTAATAAACCCAGCAGGATAAATAGTATAAATGCATGTTTCCGTAATGAAGCCTAGCAATATAAGTAATATAAGTGCATGTTTCCGTAATAAAACCCAGCAGTATAAGTAATAAAAGTGCATGTTTCTGGTAACGACGTCTAGCAGTATAAGTAATATGAGTGTATGTTTCCGTAATAAATCCCAACAGTATAAGTAATATAAGTGCATGTTTCCGTAATGAAGCCTAGCAATATAAGTAATATGAGTGCATGTTTCCTGTAACGACGTATAGCAGTATAAGTAATATGAGTGCATGTTTCCGTAATAAAGCCCAGCAGT